CACTAAATGATTACTGAAACAGCAACGCTTTTTAGTGAATTATGATTTACCAGATAACAGGTAGAGAAAGATTTTCTCCCTGGCCTGTAAAATAGCATTGGTTTTATCAAATAGCTCCTGTTGAGCCCATCTAGTTGATGAACATTCTTATCAACTAGCAAATATAAATGAGTTATGAGGATAATATTTCAATATATAATGACACCGCTATATCTCTGATTCTTTTAAGATCTGGGTTATTAAATATTAAATATCAAAGCTGTAAATTATTGTAGCAGCTTTATACAACTAAATTAAATTCAAACAAAACCTAATTTCCTTAATCATCGACTGTAATCCTCCAGGAACATATGCTATTAACTCAGCTACAAATGACACAGAAATTGTATGACTTCAGTTAAGTTATTTTATATCAAATTCTAATCCAGAGCAGAGTCCTCAGTAAATCTCCTGCAGGGATTTTAATGCTTCTGCAATCATATTGGCTCTTTGCTAGAGAGCTAATCTTTTTATACGCTGTTTTTTCACTCCTTTATCCATTTCCTTCACAGCCTTACCAAGATAGCTAGTATCTCCTACCACATATCATGTTCTGAAAGATTTGGCTCTCCCCTCTTGCATTTGATCACCAGGAATCAGGCTTTCATTTATGCCAAAATTGGATCTTTTGTTTTGTTTCTCTCGCATGTAAAGCTGTAAAGCATTTCTATTCATTCTGGCATATATGTTAACTGTCACACGTGTGATCTCTTTATAAGGCTGTCATAATTGCTCACAGTTTGCAGTCAAGCATTCAGAAAACAGAATAATTTCCTCCTCTTTAAGAACCCCATTGAAAATTAAATTAAGCAGATTTAATTTAAACAAGAAACTTCCACAGTGGCTGGGGACAATGACCAGATAATAAAGAAATAAACCTGAGAGCCCTAGGAGATAAGACTTGGAGAAACCTCCAGAGATCGGCTAGTTAGCCCTCTGCCCCAAAGCGTGATCAGCCACGCGGCTGTCATTCCTGRCAGATGTTTCCCTAATCTCTGCTTAAAACCCTGCCACAATGGAGATTTGACATCTTTCTGCACTATTTCAGTGCTTYACTCTCCTTCCTGTCAGGACATGAATCCAGATACCTAATTGTGATCTTTCTTGCTGTTTTTTTAAGCCCTTGACTTCCTTCCCTGTGCTTTGGGACTGGGAATGAGGCTATTCCTGGACTTCCTGCAGAGCTTCCTGAATACTTGGCTACTTCTCCTCTCCATTTTCTCTGCTCTAGACTGAGTCACAGCATCCCCTTATGCTTTCCTCAGCAGTTTTGTGCTTCTCTGGACCGTCTATCCAGACAGTTTTCTCCCAGAAATACAACACCTGAATTAGGGTACTTTAGCTGAGGTCTTTCTCTGCACCAAGGAAAGTGGAAGCAATAACTCATCTCTCGCAGGCTACAGTTCTGTTTATACAGCCCAAGGCACCTCCTTCACAAACACTGCTGACTGCATCTAATGACTGCATTGGGTTTACAACCCATTTTCATCTCCAGTTTCTTTCAGCTTCTTGCTTAATGTCCTTTAATTATTTCTTTGACTATGATTACTGCCAATTAAGTTACAAGTCTCTCTTGAACTGAAAATACCTAATAGCCACTAGGCCCAAGTCACAAACAAAACATTCTCGTTTATGAACACGTAACATGAGTAAATCCTGAGACCATTTACTTTGATGAGTTTCAAGTTCAATACAAGGTGTGCTCTCAGTGGGTTACAGCTTTTTCAATACTGCACATTTTCACAAGACTATTTCAGTACCAGATTCCTCCTCACAGGATTCCCAGCTCCTGCATTYCTGTCCAAACTAGGCTCTTTGAGCACTTGCATGGGGGTCTGTCACCTCTTTAAATACTTCAACATAAAGCAGTGCCTTACTTTGAAAGAACGAACGGTACGTTTTCTGAGTAACCATGTATTGTATTCACTTCCCACTCCATAAACACTCTTGYTCTTCTCCATTGGCTTCTGCTGGACTGACTGAAATTGTTTCTTGGAAGAGTTATACCAAAACAGGAGAGCACTTCAGCTACGGCCTTCCCGAGCAGAGGGGAGCAGGTCCTTGGCAGATTTTGGCTCTGCTTCCACCTGGTAAGGAGACCATCCACAAGAGCACAGTATTGCTGATTTGCGTTCAGCTTGTGATTCGCCTCCTATCCAGTCCCCATCTTGGGAAGGGGGGCACTTCCCAAGTATCTGACAGTTCCCGAGTCTGTTTAATGAAATTAGGATAGGGACTTACCCTAGAAGTATCTATTAGATCAAAACACAAGCGATGATTCTGTGGCAGAGGTTTTGCAAATGCCAGATTTACCATTCCTGCAGAGGGTGACGAGGTGCAGGGAAGGGCACGGTAGCACTTCATGGTTCTGAGCGCACGTGACTTGCTGCWGTTGACTACAATGACTGCAGACATGGAGTGCCACGGTACCTCACCCAGCACCACTACTGCAGGCTCATGCCAGCACATCCAGAATTTGCAGAAGTACAGGAGCTCATCCAGAGGCATCTAATTCACAACGGCTCCCAGAGAAAGGCAATTCTCAGCTTTCCCATGGAAAAAAAATCCAGACAGAGAAGAGATGGAGGAGAAGAAGGAAAGTTATTAACAGAGCTTTCCTTAGAGACCAGTCTTGCTTTGAGTTCAGATCCAACTCACATTGCCAGGTTACCATATCCATGAACTGTTTTCCTCTCACTTCAGACCCAATTTCCTTAGAAACTGGAAAGTAAGGCAGCCATCTCAGATTAAAGATCCATCCATCCCTCCATCTGCCTCCAACAGCATTTGTAAGTCCATGTAAGTACAAAARTGGGATAAATACACAGCGTTTCTCCTCAAGGAGTCCCTATTCTGTGCTAGCTGATGTGACAGCTGTAAGGAGGAAATTAGCAGAACATATAAAAAAAGAACAGAAATAGTGAAAACACTGGTAAATATGACATAGTGAGAAAGAGAAAACACTACTTTTGCAGGCTTTTATACAGGGTTGAGTGCTGCCTCATGCTACCACATTAAATCCCAGTATGGGAACTTGCCAGAGTCTACCATCATTTCTTGCTGAAAGGGGTGCTGAATGGGGTGCTGAATCTAGCAAGCACGTAGGACCCCTGTTCCAGGGAGGACACTCCTCAGCTATTACGCCCTAAATGAATCTTCAATGTCTTAGGAAGTATAAGTCAAGGGTTAGTCCACCCAGGGTCCCAAGCCACTCCAAAAGACACCTATAGACTCATTTAAAGTGTAGTCTGTCGAGTGTGGATATAACACCTTGCTTACCAGGGCAGAGCAGAAGTCCTGCATACGGGTGACACACATCCACTCAGCCTGCTGCACTGCCGCTCTGCTCCCCTGGCCAGCAACACGGAGTCAAAGCTATATCCTTTGGGTATTTCTTAAACAGCTTGTTAACACTTAACAGCTTAAACACTTTCTTAAACAGCTTGTTTGTTAAACAGTGCAACAGCAAACTGTTTTTAACTGCAGAACTACCAAGCAAAACATCTTCCCCAAATCATGCCATCACAGGAATGGGCTGCCCCATTGACTACAACCTTTCCAAAGCCACAATGTATCTCTGCATTTAGCCTGTCCACCCATTTTACTCAGGCATTTCCTGAGTGGGTGACTTATGCTGTGGGAGAGCCTTTAATTTTATTTAATTATTTATGGGAAGGTTTAAGCAGTCTTCTCTTATATCAGGATATCAGTTGGCCAGCACTCACTTCAGTGACTCAGAGAAATAATCTTTATTTTGCAATGAGGAACACTTGGGTCTAAGCTTTCACTGAGTTTAATAGCCAAGGAAAATACTTTCTTGCATGGGCAACAGCTCTTAGAAGAGCATCTCCTTATGTTTAACGTAGAACTGGGTATGCAAGCTAAACTAGTTCAGAACTTAGACCTCCAGATGGCCATAAGAAGTCCCATGTTTTGTGACTTTTTTCACAGTGACCGTTTCTTTTTCATACTGATGTGTCTCCAAAGTGATTTGTAGCTAAGTGAACACAAAACTGGAGTAACACAGTGGCAAATTTCAATCAAGAAAATTGTTTCTCTGGTTACAGAAGTGTAAACTCAAACAGTATTTATAATCACCATAAGAAATTCCAAAGCAGCTTTTAATATATGCTGTACTTTAGAAACTGTTCCCACAGAAGACACTACAGCTCGATGCAGAGATAACTGGCCTATCAGACAAACTTTGACTATTTTCTGTGTCCTTCCCAAGAGCCTGCCAGGTAAAGTTAGAGTGCTAGCTGAGATTTCAAGCTGCTTTCTGTATTTCCTCACTGTGGCTGCTTCTTAAGTCTGAAGCAGGCTGGAGATAATTCAATACAGTATTTAGATGAAAACTAATAAAGAAAAGCTAACCATCAATGAAACTTGAACAATCGATTCAACAGCAACCACCACTCAGAAGCATTTGCACTCAGGGAGGGCTTCCAGGCCTGAACTCAGCACAGGGCTTCTGCTTTGCTTATTGTAATGCAAATGAACAATTCTAAAAGCCGCCAAATACAGATTCTGTCTTTAGGAGGGCGGGAAAGAGTTTTCAGTCACACTAAAGCAGGCAAGTTTTAGCAAGGAGAATGTGAGCTGTGAAGAGGGAGCAGTGAGCACCCGAGCCCACAGAGATGGGTGCTCTAGGAGGCAGAGACCTCCTGCCCTCCAGCGCCTGGGAGGCCGCCCGAGCAGCCCCGTCTGCCCGTGCCTCGGCRCGCCATGCCAGCCCTGCACACCAGACAGCTTGGGAGCCCGAGCCCTTTTTTTTTTTCCATCCTCCCTTTAAAAAGTTTTCAGGAAGTCTGGGGGAGGGGCAACGCTGCTTCTTTTTTGTTATAATGGGCCCCTTTGTGGGGATGGGAGAGGAGAGGAGGTCTGGGTGCGCGCGGCGCAGGGCGCGCGCCGGGGAGGGCTGGCAGCGGCGCGGGCGGCCAGGGCAGGGGGGCCTGCCCCGGCATGGAGCTGCTGGTCCTGTGCAACGCGCTCGTGACGCGCCTGCTCTTCGTTCTGCACTCGCTCATCGGCGTCTGGAGGGTGACCGAAGTGAAGAAAGAGCCCAAGTACTGGCTGCTGGCACTGCTCAATCTGCTCCTGTGTCTGGAGACAGGGCTTACCCTCAAATTTAAACAAGGCAGAGGCTACAAATGGTGAGCATACCCGCGGGCTCTGCAGAGCCCCTCTTGCTTCCCTGCATGTGCTTTGTTCCCCGCTGCCGCTGCTGCCCCGCTTTTGTTTCTGCCCCGCTTGCAGAGGTCACATTTTGTCTGGGGATCAGGGAGCTGGGGATGTGCTGGTTTGGACACTGCCAACTCCAGGGTGTGCAGGAGAGGCTGCCTTGTGCTGCACTGCCCGGGAGCTGCTCTGCATGAGTGACTGTGTGTGTGTGTGCGCACACGTGTGTTTGTGTGTGYGTGWGAGAGAGAGAGAGAGAGGGAATGGGTGGGTATGTGTGAACATGTGTGTGAGCTCCTGCACCGCCTCGCACCGAGGGGCCGGGCACCTTCTCTGGGGCAGCTGCTCAGGCCCTGTGAGGGGCACCGGGCCCAGCAGGCTGTGGCGAGAGCCCCGCAGGGCCTGCCATCCCGCTGCCAGCCCAGCGCTAAGCCAGGCTAATGCCAGGGCCAGAACAAACKCAAGATGAGTGACAAATGAAGATGAGCAGCAACCCATCCTCCCGATGGGTTAAACATTCRGATTTGAGCTGGAGAGGCTGGGCTAGAGAGGAGCCTTCCAGCTGGAAAGGCTGCCCACGAAAACAGAAATACAAACAAAAGTTACAGACTGAGCACATGGGTTTTCACATGCATCTGGGGAATGCCTGTTCCCATGAGATGGCCACAACCACGCACTGCTCATCCGCACGCAACACTCCGGACAAAGGAAGGGCTCGTCCAGCCAACCACCCACATTTCATCAGGGTCTCTCGATTTTAAACGCCTCAGACTGTGGGCCCTGGGCCACACAGAGCTCTGCATTTCAGTGACTGTACATTCGCATGTATTGCGACCTGCAAGGGTAGCCCTGGCAAAAGCAGCGCTGTGCGACAGCTCGCACAGCTGCACCGCGCCAGCGCTCAGCGGAGCCCCAGCCGGGCTCCCTAATTGCCCAGGAATGCCGAAAGGCAGCAGAGCTCCAAAGCAGCCGCTTGCTGAAGGGAGGCAGAGCGAGCGCAGCCCGTTCACTGTGGGGAGGAGGTGGCCGCAGGGGCTTCACCAAGGAACAGCTGCCATGCCAGCTTTTGGAAAAGCCAAACAGCTACAGAAAGCAGATTCAGTTTAGGTGAATAGGTGCTGGAAGAAGGGGGCACGTTTAGCTAGAAGCAAATCTTTAAAATGGATKTGATGCTGCACTCTAGAGAGCATAATGAAGCACATTACAGGTAAGAAAGACCTGTAGACAACTGGCTGCCATCCAACTGCATCTGCATAACTTTCCTCTTAGGAGAGGCTAGCACTCAACACAGAACCATCCACATCCACAGAAAGGCCACTGTGGGTGTCCACTGATCCCTGCAGAGAACATGCCAGAGACCCTCCAAGCTGGCCATTCGCTAGTGTAAAAGAGTTGTTGCTATTACACCAACAACAGTAATTAAACAGCATATGCGGAGAAAAAGTAATACTGTGGCCCCGGCCAAGTAATATTCCCTCCAGATTGCTCCTCCTGAAAGAAAGGCAGGGTTAAAGCTCCTGCGCTCTCCTGGCCTGATCTGGTGTCATTAGCTCAGCAATACTAACCTGCCAGCTGGACGCGTTTTGCCTTGAGCTACAGTCCTACAGAAAATGCTGTAAAACGTGGTAGTGCTCCAATTCAAACGAGGTATGTGTTCTCTTCCCAAACCACCAGGCTAAAACCCCACAGAACCAGGAACAGCTAGTTTTGTTAAAAATAGATCTATCTTATCTTGAAGGAGTTGATCGAAGCATTTCATAGCAACTCAGCAACCCAGTCATCTTCCTGAGAAGCAGTTTCTTTTCTTCCTCAAAGCTTACTCGCTAGCAGAAAAAAGTCATGATTACAAACAAACCCACTATATTCAGGGCAATAAACACAGCAGCTTTTGACAGAAACGTTGCTGCAGTCATAGTTGTCACTAACCTCACTGCAGACGGTGCCAGTGGTGGGAGAGAGGGACCCAAGTGAGTACGCTCAGGCTGATGCCACTGCTCAGTCCTACAGCTATGCCCAGGCTGAGGGGCATGGCCAGGGCACTGCTGCGCTGCTTGCTTCCTGCCATGGCAGAGGCAGATCGACATCATCCCTGCTCCAAGAGGATAGGAACAGCAACACATTTCAGTGCACATGTGATCAGAAACCTTGGCAATCATCGCAGGAACTGGAGCTTACAGAAGGAGTGAGGAAGCCACTCGGGAACTCCTGAAGAAGCCCAGCTCAAGCAGGTGGAGATGTGAGCATCCTTGCTAACATTAATGATAGGCTATACAGAAAGGTGGCAGCGACAGTCAGCTAGAAACAAAAATCCTAAAAACACCTTGGCAATACAATTGCCAGTGCAAACTGATGAAAGAAAAAATAAGTTTATTTTAGGTAAACTGATGCTATTTCCATCTTTTTTTTTTTTTCCTCTCATCAGTGCACAGAAGTTTGACAAACAGCCTCTGTACCAGCAGCAATCAGAAATGTCTCAGTTTAACAACTAGCCCTCTGTGAGCTCAGGAAGGGCATGCTTGCTACAGCCTCCCTGCCATGCAGAGAATGCTGTAGCAAAAACTGAGAAAAACTTTAAAGTAACTTTTCAAGAACTGATTGAAATAAACATCCATACCTGAACCTGGATGAATTTGCCAATAAACCTATAATTCACAAGCAGCAACAGGAACTCAGCAACAATGATAATTCTGATTTGCAGCAACTGCCCATATAAGAGATGGCACTAGATGCTTTTCAAAGTGAACTGTATCTTCAGCAGCATTACCAAGGTCCACCACAGAGAACAGTAGGATACACGGTATTTATGATGTGATTTAACATCAAAGGTCTCTTTTCCTTTGCAGGTTTTCCCCAGCAATATTTTTATATCTGATTTGCACAGTACCATCATTATGGCTGCTAGAAATTCATCATGGGACTCAGGTATTTATCATGAGACAAGATGGGCTGGTGGAAGGGGCACGTTATTTGATTGATGGGATGGGAGCATACAGAAGTCCATACAAAAGTCCATCCACTCTTGCTCCCATTTTCCAATCATTCCTGGTGGATCCCCCACTGCTATGGGAGTCCTATAGAGCTACCAGCACTCTCCACACATTACCACACATTTCCTCCATGTCAAATAACGGGCCTCCTTCCTATCCCAATGAGACAATTTTTCTTATATTCARTTGGGAAACTGAGACCTAGAAGTTTTGAGGTTAATGAAATACCATCTTTCAACCACAGATTATCATTTTCACCATCCTGGGCAGGGTTCAAAGAATTTCATAGCATTAGATGCCTTTGTAAAATAAAGTGTCCTTTTTTTTTTTTTCTTTTTTTTTTTTTTTTTGGTCCTTTAAAGAGCCCTTTAGCTGACACCCCAAGCCAAGCAAGTCATCGCTCTGGCTGCTTCCTGTTCCCCACAGCACCTCCAGTGAGGAGAAGAGGGGTCCTTTAGCCATTCAACCCCCTTTTGCACATACATGGTACCTTACAATTGTGGCAGAAGAGGACCCTGATGGCAAGCAAATAAAATAAATAAATGAGAGAAAAAAACATAAATTAAGCTAAGGAGACGTAGTGCCTCATTTTCTGACTTGAAACATTGTTACAGCCCACAGGAACATAATCAAATATTCAAAATTGTGTTTACACTGAAAATGCCTAAGGCTTTTTCTAGATACAGCAGCAGGAATTTATTGTCCTCTCATTTTGCCAAATCTCCTTAAACAGTCACAGACAGGTAATGTGGATATTGAGAACATTTGTCATAGTTAAATCTGGTCCAAGAAACAGGCTAATTCTGTAGTCAAAAGCAGCAGTTTATTTCCCAAAATGATGTTAGAACATGGCATACTTTGTTCTTATTGATATACTGCTACTGTGAATTGAAGAGGGAGTATATCAACTTAACAGCTTGGTTTATACCTGCAGAGATAGGACAGAGTTCTGGAAAAGCCCCATCTAATAGAGTCAAAGGCAATTCCCGTGGGAGGGGAGCAGCCTCCCAATGACCCACCCCACACACAGCACCCACACAAGTACTTTCCTTTACATTAACTCATCTCTGGCCTTTCCCTTATTAAAACGCTAACAGAATGGGTAATCACACAGCTGCTAGACTCAGACTTTAATATATATGTCTTGAAAATAGCATGTGATCTTTAAGACAGTAGAACTGTGATCTCCTGTTGAAGCAGCATCAGCTGCCCGCGCCAGGGCTCTTATTATTTAAGGCATGTTCTACCAGGCAGCCTCTCCTCCAGAAGGCCAAGGCAATTTCGCCTCCCCGAGCACCATGGAACTGGACATAAGTAATATCACTCATACATCAGCAGTGAAATAGTCACTGCATAGAAAGTACTGCTTTGCAGTAAACTATTCAGGGATGCTTTTGAGAGAAGTTCTATGAAGTAAATTGAATTGTACTGAGTGAAAGAAATTGCTGTCAGCAAAACAGAGTGGAAAGAAAGTTAAAATCACTTAATCCACTTAAAAACAAAAATCCATTCTTCCTTCATAAGGCATAAAAATCTAGATGAACAAATACCACCTATCTTCTCAAGTGCCTGCTGCACTAGTRCACATAGCAATAAATAGCCACCCTTAGCACAGGACTCAATGTAAGCTCCTCATTCAGCCAAGAGACACATTCTTGGTAAACCCTATAACTATTCTTAAGTACTCTCATTTGAGCATTTTAAGGCGTGATCAAATACAGTAACCACATCCCTCAGGCTCATTCTGAAGTGACATTCCCTTACCAGAAACAACTTGAGGGCATTCTTCCCCTAAGAGCGATCTTACATCGCTGTGTACACAAACACGCTCGGCGTCAGTGCTCCCATTCACACGCATACACACGATACAAAATAAGGCTCTTCTCCAGCCTTTCAGGCAAGCAAACACCACTTTTAATAAATATTCAGAGAGAAGCAAATCAAAACAAGATAAGAACATGCTTAAAATTAAGAGTCTAATTAGCGCCTGTTTTCCATTTCCTGACTACACATAGTCAGGCAGAGATATGGTTGAGGCCCCAAGGAGTCCACTCGGAATAAACAGAGCCTAGCACTGAAAAAGAAGCCCCAAGTAAGCCAGGACTAGCCTTGAAAATTGCATAGAAGGAATCTATGGGAGATGCTGATAAAGCACAAGGTTTTTCTTAGAGAAACAATCTCTGCACCTTCATGCTGCTGAGGAAGAGATGCCCCCATGGCCCTCCCCTGGGGAGCGGGGCAGAGCTGCCTCCCTGTGGCTGCCCTGCCGGCCCCTCGGCTCCGCAAGCAGCTCGCGCCGCGCGGGGCCAGGTGGCCCTGCCCGCGGTGGCAGCACCACAGCAGCGCTACCGGCAGCCTGCTGCTCGCTTACGCTGACATGCTGCACCCCTCCAGGTCCCGCTTCACTACCGCCCTTCAGCCCTCTCATTCACTCCTGGGAGCTCTTAGGGTCTCTGCRAAGGTATTTCCCTAAATCCCTGTGCTTCAGTTATGAAGTGGCTTTAAGTCAAGGTCGCCTCTGCTGTCCATTTCCTGCTGCCTTTAAGGGCTGCTCAAACTTAACGTGTGCCCAGACTTTGGCCAGGGAAGCTCGTCTCCATAGACTGTAAGAGTCTTCTACAGACAACTGAATAAAAGGCTTGTCCAGACCACGGTTAAGTTTTTCTGCTTGAACGYCCCCAGAACAAGCCCTCCACGTCTCTTACACACCCCTCCGACCGCAGGGCTATGCCAGCGAGATCAGCCCTGCAAGGCCRTCGCTGGCCTGAACACTAGCCACTGTCTCACCGTTTCCATGCCCAGACTTCCCTCCCCCAATAGGAGCATATTCCCTGTATCTGTGTCAATCTTTCAATGCCATCACACCCACTGTCCAAACAAGCCAGGCATTCACTTGAAGAGCCTTTATCACCCACTATAAAAGCAACAAGTCCTGACTTTTTCCCTGATTTTTTCAAACCACAGGAAGTTGCTCTATTTATCTACAAGAGCAGACAAGAGGCAGCATTTGTCCAGACACTGCGCAATGCTATCAGAGACAAAGCAAAGTATCAAAAGGAGAAGAGTAGAATCTGAGGTTTGCTAGAATGTGATGTTTGCTGGAAAATGTTGCCTTGATGTTGGCAGGCGCTATGCTGGACACGGCACGCACAGGAACACGTTCCAGTTCTCACAACAATTGCTCCTTGTACAATAAAAATGGGGGGCGGGGGGGAGGAGGGCAAATGCAAGGTCATTTGCTGATCTACAGCACAAATAGGACAGGATAAAAGTCTTTAATAACAGCATGGTTTGATTTTTTTTAATTACCCCTTTTTTATTGGATTGCAATGGAATGAGATGTTTGGAAATGTTATTCCAGCTGCTGCAGGGCCAGTGTTAGGGGGAAGGCAGAGTGGCGACGCTGTGTTGCATACCTCAAAACTCTTGGTCACACAGTCCCACCACTGATTTACTGCTGCTCAAGCACCATTATGTTTTAGCCAACGTTACCTTTCCTGGAGCGCTAGCACTCAGAGCGTAGCCAATGGGCCAGAGCGCACCCTGAGGGCAGCAGGGCACTCACACGCGCGTGATGTTTGTGCCACAACAGTACTGCAGCAACGAGCCTGGAGCAGTTCAGGTGAACGTCAGCAACCAAGACTTCAATCAAACTAGAGACAGCAGTCACAGAAGTRAAGGAACAGACCACCACATCATTCAGACGGTAGGACTTCTCTTGCTGTTCCTAAAGGGATCTTAACAATTTTCAGGTAAAGAACAGCTAGAAAGGGTTGTTGGGTCTGTTTAAGCAATCTCTCTCTCTCTCTCTCTCTTACACTGTGAGCACAAAAAAAAGTGTCAAAACAATATTGTGAAAATTGGTCTACAGGTCGTGCACTAACTGTTAGCAGTAGGAAAGGTGTGAAGAAGAGGACTATATCCCACTTCTGTCCTCCAAATTTGAGTAACTGAATTTCACAAGTGTCTGGGGGGAGGTTCTGCAAAAGATAATGCTCAGCTGAAAATAAGAGAAGAGCAAAAGCATAAGGAAAGAGCGTCACTAATCATTACTAAGAAATTTCTATTAACATGCCTTTTTCAAGTCATACCTGCAACACAGAGATCATTTCCTTTAATGCGGTGTGCAGGAGAAAAAATCAAGCTTAAGGGTGAACACCAGCGTGGAAGGTACCTTTTATATCAATCTCCTGATGTTAGAGTATGTTATTGTGTTTTTTGTTTTGATCTTTTAATCAGGCTAAAGTCTTTGTCAATCAGCTCTCCACAATCTGTGAGACTGTGTGGACACTAGCCCTCCACCAGACCTTCCTACTGCTATTAGTAATTGGGAGATGGCTTCTCCCTATTGGGATGGAGATCACTCGGGATCAACTGTCTCAGCTACTTCTCATGTTTGTGGGAACGGCAGCAGATATACTTGAATTTGCTAGTGAAACCTTGGACATCGAAGACGTACGGTAAGAAGTATTTGCTGGCATAAAACATTTGCATTGTACAAGGTTATGTTCAAAGAGATTTGTTTTAAGATTTGAATTTTCAGCACTGTGATCTTCCCCAGAGGATGTAAGTCCCATCACCCTCTTGCAGCAGAGCTGAATTGTGAACATCTATCATAGAAAAAGAATCACAGAAAAGGTTCATCCTCTTTTACAGACACATTCAATCATTTCTTCTATAATACAGAAGTTCTATGGCAGGAAAAGTGGTTCTGCCCTCATGACAGAAGTTTCAGGTTTGCAAGCAATGCAAAAATCACTGTGAGCATAAAGATATCTACTCTTCAAGCCACAAAATCTATTTCTATACGCTTAGTACTGTAGTGTTAGCATCAGATGCTTACTCTATTCACACATGCCCTCAACAGCAGAAATTCCATACCATAAGGTGCCTGGTTTTCCTTAGACCTACTAGTATGTCCTCAAAAGATGCATTAATCGCTGTTGGGCTGAACCTCCCTTTAAGTGACAGTTTAAATGCCAAAAGAAACCTTTCTGTTGTCACCTAGGGAAACTGCATCTTCACTGTTATCCCTTCGTTTCCCTCCCATAGGAAGAATTATGCTCTCATAAATGCCATTCTTGCTGTATGGACCTGGAGTATGTTACAGTTTCCACTTGATCTTGCAGGTTAGTATTTGCAAATAGACACCAAAAGAAAAAAACGAGTGCTCTTCTTTAGAGCTCTTGCTGGCATGTTTTGGGGCCCTGCACACCAAGCGCTCTGTGCACACACCGCAGGCTGCGATCAAAGACTTCTGATAGAAAGCAACTCATATGAAAGACAATGGTGTTTTCTGAAGAAAACACAAGGTGGTTTCCTTTGAGGAAACACTTGTTTCACTGGCAGACCTCTGATCCCCACACCAAAACTCCACGTGCATCCAGGAAAAACTGAAATCGCAGCAAGTGTGCGGGAGCATCTGCTCCAGTTGCAAGCTACTGCCTTAAACTTCTCTGAGCTCTTGAGGTTGATGTGGTTTGGATGGTAGCACGGCTGCAATCTGGGCAGACACCTGGACTCACCGTAAGAGCCTGTCCTTAACCACAGGGAACAGCACAGGGCAAAGACGCCATAGACTCAGAAGAGAGATTTCTCACAGGCATCCTACAGAACCAGATAATACCACGACTGTGGATTCTTACCTCAAACTAGAAAGCCTAAACGTCAGCCAATTTAGGCTGATATTTGTTACTAGACAGAAGGGGCTTCTCTAGATCCAGGGAGAGTAACGGAAACCTCCTAGACTTTCAGCTGTTCCAAACATTTTAGCCTCCAAACATTACAAGGTTGCAACTCAAATACATGAGTACAAAGTGCTACCCTCACCAGCATCTTCTATGAAATTAATGACTAGATTGGCACATTCATTAAAATAACAAATTAATATAGTAATAATGAAAAATTATTTTAAGAATTTTTCATTAGCTTTTCCTCACGGAGAACATTACGCTTTATTTTAAATACTGAAGTTGAACTGAAATGCTAAAATACTTTCTCAACTGTTCACCTCAAAAAAATTATGCAGCAGCATTTCAAATTTATTGAATTATTACAGCTACAATTCCTGACACTAGCAAAATACATTAAAGATGTACAGCACTTAAAAAAGGTATTAAACAAGCACGGCATTTTTTCTGCTTATTTCTTTCCTACTTCCTTGAAAACACACATTTACCCTTAAAATTTATTATGATACAATTTTATTTTAGGTAATTCTATATAGCTACACAGAAATTGCTTTTTATTCAAGCACTGGAATGTTTGCTTGCTCATCAAGCATGGCTTAAAATGGGAGTTTGAGCAGATTCATTATTGGACTACAATAACGCAGTTAGGACAATTAAATGATATAAAAATGTATTAAAAATATCTGCTGTTCAAATTTTGCTTAATGAATACAGAAAATGCTTTCCATTTTCTAGAATTCATTTTCTACTTTTCCTTCTCCCTAATGTTGAATTAAACATTCTTTTGAGGAGGGGGTGTAGGGTGGAGGGAAAGTAAAAGTTAAAACATTTGGTGGTTGTACTGCATCATAGTAACCATTAAAAAAAATAAAATAAAGGAATTTACGCTGCATGAGGCAAGTTAGTTGAGCTGCTGAATGCATTGCCATAAGAGGCTGCAATATTTACTTAACCTAAAGCCTTTAATGATCCATCTCTAGATATGATGTTACAAATAGGATTCTGTTTTATATATACATATGTGTGTATGTGTGTATATATACATACATATATATATATAATGTTAACCACTGGTATAGTTAAGGGGGATGTATCTATGCAAATTCCAATAGCCACAATAAACTTAATACCCAGAAGCAGCAGAGCARTAGCTCCATTTTACATGGCAAGCAAGGACCACATTTTCCTCCTAACCACAATGCTCAAAATTCCCCTGGCCAAACATCCCTAGCTTTATCCGTGATTTGAAGAATGCAACACAGCAAAAGCAAAAGCAGGTGAACCTTTTAAAAAACAGTATTGAGGACGCACTGCAGCAAATGATGAATGCAATAATAATCCAGGGTTCACACGAGCTGCCCCCAAGGTCAATCCTGGCTAAAGTGGAGGGAGTTTTTTAACCTAAGCATATTTTATCTCCAGTACAGCACATTGGCTGCAAACCAGCCACGATGACCAGGCGAATCCCCAGCCTGCTGCTGTGCAGGTACAGCGCAGAACTGTGGAACATCGGGGTCAGTCTCTTCATTCAGGACGGGCCCTTCTTCATCGTGCGCTCAATCCTGATGGGCCACTTCAGGATATTCAATCAGATGCTGGTGTTTTTTACAGCTAAGAATATCTTAGTTGTGACCCTACAGCTGTATCGCTTAGCGGTGATAACCTTAGACTTTCGGGCTACCTTGCTGCAGAAGAGCAGGAAAGAAGTCAACTGCTGCCCCTGCGAGCCTTATGAAGCTTGTAGTCAGGCTACTGCCAGCCAGGATACCGAAATGAAGAAGTGTGTTGCTTTTCCTGCAAAAGAGGAGTCCGAAGCACCATCAGATCAGTGAGCACAGCTACCGACTCAGAAGAGGTYGATGCCCCTGTGCTGCCTTTGAAATGGCTTTGAAAAGGATTTCTGAGATCAAATAGATCTTGTGCATCTTTTTCCTCTCTTCCAGCAAAAGATCAATAATTTCTTCTAAAGTATAGGGAGGATTCCTGAAGCAAAGCCATAGAAGTGGGATATTTTTTGTCCTATTGGATTTTGGTGGGTTTTGACTAGATCTCTTTTATATTAATCACAGACATTTTGTAGTCATAGTTTGTAGTAGCAAGAAAGACTTTGCATGTAACGAAGTTGGATATTATCTTTGGAGGTACAGTGCTAACACATGTATTCACATGTATTCATATAGAAGGACAAGACTATCCTGTGATATAACGAGAGGGTAGTTTATGGCATGTTTTCCAGGCACAGGAACAACCTCAGCAGTGCAGACGCGTGAGCGAGTGTGGACGGAAGATTTCTGCTGTTACTATGACACCTAAACATTGTTCACTCAAGAAATGTGCAAAGGGTTTCTTTGAATGTTACCTCATCCTTGGCTGGATTCAGCTAAAGAACTGTGTAACACCACACACAAAACCTTCTCTCAGGACACAGGTGGTCTGAATAATTTAAGTCTTTCCGTGGARGCAGCGGGGAACAAAGACAGCCCCAAAGAGCTTTAGAAGACAACTGCATGTGCCACATGTGTAACAGGTTCTAGAGGTACTTGCCTTCCTATTTCTACTGGTCAGAAAGCAGGTGTGAAAACCTTTTGCTCCAGCTTCACAGTAAATGTAAAGTGACCTAAGACAGTTCTGTTAAAGTTTCCCAAAATAACAATATTAATAAAAAGAACTAAACTCCTAACTATCCGAAGACAGAATCAGCTCTGGGGCACACACAAGAGTGCTCCTACCTCTGCTGCAGTCCTGCACTCATTTATGAACAGACAGATAAGTAATGACATATTTACTGGGGAGGAGACAACTGCACCTATTTAAAAGTTCCAACCCACAGATATGTGAACCTGTGCTCTTATTTGTGAGCACAGGTTCAAGTTCTTCCATTGTAACAGCAGAGTATGTACAGACATATAGGAGAAAAAAAATAATAATTAAAAAWACCCCACACCCTCACTCCCCACCTAGTCCATGCCACCATTTACCTTTAGCAATAACAAGTAAGCTCCTGCTCTTMTCATTTTGGGCCACTATCCAGTAATAATAAGAAAAATGCTGATCATTTGCAATGCTGCAGCAAGGTGGACACATTGAGAGGGACACAACCTCACTTGGGAGTTTAATTCAAGCACAGGGGTCAAACACCAGAGTGGTGCTGCCAGCCAACTGTGTTTTCTAAGGCCTCTCACGCCGAGGTGAAGGTAGAAGCAGCTGCTGGGGCTGCAACACTTCTCCGCCTTTTTGCTGGGAGCCTGGACCATTCACATTCATTTTGAGTTTCCCTGGTGCTGATATTCTAATTATCCCATTAAAAGGATCTTTGTTAATGAGTTTGGAGTRTGCCAAGCTTCCTAGAACATCACTCCAAATTCATGAGCACAGTAACTGCAGGACATACTGTTTTGAATTTACTATTTAAAGGCTTAGCTCAGCAACAGGCTGCCTCCAAGGCTGCCAGCCTGCAGCAAACCCCAGATGCCCCGGAGCCAGCAGCACAGAGACGGGCTCTTGCAGGAGCATTTTCCATAACTCCACTTCTGCTTCTGGGGCTGCTCTGCTTCAGCAGCAGGGAAGTTTCTGTCTGCATTACTGGGAGAACTCAGGCTGCTGCTAGGTCCCAAAGACAGAGCCAGCCTGCTTAAAAGCAGGGGGCAAGGGTGGTGCTGTGCACGTCGCCTGTCGGCCAGGCGCAGGGAACGTGGTGCCACCGCGCAGCCCTCCCGGGCACGGCAGCGCCAAGCACCCGAACGGGCCTTCCCGAAGATGGGCCCGGGACTGCACGTGCCTGAGGATGAGGAACCCCCGCTGGCACATTTGCTACTCAGGAAAAGCTGCAATAACCTCTGAGCTGTGGGGAAATTCAAGCCCTCAAAAYGGAATGACTGCAGAACATTATTTAGTCATTATTCACCCGTCTAGGAGAATTACATTAGTAAATCTCTTCTGCAAATTGATATCTAACCATTTACTATTATTTATTCTAGCTGTTCCTGTGCTGTCCTTTTAGGTTATTCCATCTTAAAACTTCACWACAATACTTTATTACTTGTCTCTCCCTGAGCTAAAGTATATTCCTCCTTTCCTCTGGACAATGGCTCAAGTAAGATCACTGCCCTAAGCCGGGAGCGGGGAGGGAGAGGGGAGGTAGCAGCTATGATTTTATTGTGTTTGTTGGTATTTCTACTGTACTATATTCTCTGGGACCACGTGGAAATGAAGAAAGTGTGCAATTACTTTTAAAAAACTTCCAACTGTACTGTGCGAACAAAGGCAGTTACCTCAGGCAGAGCTGCCAACTTACTATGTGCGAACTGACTGGTTTATGTTCCTATTAATTGCGCCCGCCACATGCTGCTTTTCCTTCCCCTCTTTTGCAAGTTAATTGCTTGGACCAGACCTGGACTGCCCCGCTGCCATTCCTACTCTCAAAAGTTTCTTCTCTCTGCAGAAACTTTGTCTCCAAGCACACAAGTCAGAGCAGCCCCAGAGAAGGACCTTTTTTTTATTATTATTATTATCTACATTCAGGATGCATTTTACACATGCACACAACTGTGTATCACGTGACCAGCTAGACACCCATACACGCCTGGCAACACCTAACACATGCAGCTTCTGGTTTTATTATGGTGTGTGAGATTGGTAATACAAACACCCTGCAGATGTCTAACACACACTTACAGAAGTGCCTAGAACATTAAAATTATTTTAACCTTAAGCTAAAAAAAGGTTAAAGGTTAACCTTTAAATACTAAGCACATGGTACTATCTGAACAACGCACCAATTAATTTTTTTTTTTTGGTAAATTCTCAGCAATATTATTGCCACATAGATTCCCTCAGTTTAATGAAAGCTACCACTACCCTTTGGAGGAGATTATTAAGATCAGTGTAGCTGCTTGGCTACGCACAGAGCGGTATTCTGTCATTAGTATGTTTTTTTCCTGTAATTTATATAGTGTCATTTAAAAACACTGTACAGGAAGTTCCCCCTTCTTCCCTTGATCTGACCAGAATGCCAGGTTTGATTTTTGACTGACCATTTGCAATCCTCAAACACATGATGAACAACAAAACTGGAGACATTTCAAAGCATAAATTGGGAGAAGCCCTCAAGTCAACACAGAAACAAAYGCAGTAAAGAGAGCAAGAACAGTAAAGAAGGAGCATTCAAGAGTTCTCTTCCCTAATCAAGATTAAGGCAGATTGTAAAACAAACATTGCTTGTAACAGGAAAGCCAAGAGTTACAGGATGACTTTGCCCATTTAGGAAGGGAGATATAAAAGGGAAAGCTGTATCTCGTAAAACAAATATCTGAAGATTAAGTATTTTGGCTGTGGGCAGCTCGCCTATCTACCAAGCAGCTTTAGTCTCTCCCAAGCAAGTGGGGTGAATTTTCCTAGTTCAGTCTCACAGCTGTACAGCTTAATGGACAGCACCTTAAACTCCRCTGCTGCACAGGCAGAGTGGAAGTGATGGTCAGGGGGTGGAGGGGGTTCAAGCCCTAATGCCTTCTGCTCCAAGCAGTCCTGCAACAGAAACTCTAGACAGAAGTCAAACTCGGGGAGAAAGTTCAGGTTTCACTTGGTTATTGTTACAAAACTGCATGTCCAGGAATAGCATAGTTTAGACTCTTCATTGATAGTGTTTACATTTATAAATTTATACGTGTGTGAACGGCTCCTTACATCATCCACAAGGAATGGGCAGCTGCAGTGGAATAATGAGCTTCCAGGAAAGTTAATGCTTTGGAAATTACCTGTCTTAGAAATAAAGTATGATCAGTCTCTTTTCTCTCTTTTCTGAGAGGATCTTGCATAAAAGCACCTGTGCCTGATAATACTGCATGACCAATCTTWAAGGGCTACTTTATAATATTCTGCTCCATGTTTTTAAATCAGCTTTTAGTGGAAAGTACAGGAAACAATAATGCTTATTTCTGACTCATTTAAAAACAYTGATGGGAACATACATATAAGAGACATGTATAAGGCCCGTGAGCTGTTAATACAGGAACTCCAACAGTGCTTGGTCTGCATAACAAGTGGAAACTAAGAAGCTGCATGAGCCTTTGCCTGTCTGGGGCTCCCTGAGGCCCTTTTCCCTTCTGTGGATTGGGTTAAGGTGGGAATGGGACAGTAAGAAGCAAAGAAGAACTTYAACTTTTACCTCATCCACTCCATCCTGCTGTTCTCTTAATATCTAAGCACCAGTCTGCTCTTTGTGCCTATCTGCCAGATCTCAGTACAAAGACAAAAGGCAGCAAGCACTGACCTCTCCCCAGCTGCCTGGGGAAGCCTCTGCGAAAGCACACAAGAACTCAGGCCAAGCTTAGATTACGATGAGCCAAGCCTATTTCCTCTTGTTAAAGACTGAGGATATCTGCGGCTGCCAAAAGGCTTCTTCCATTTGTCCGTAGCCTACTACAAAGAGAAGAATATTTTCCTGTATAGTCCTCCTCTGAAGGACTAGCTGATTGAAATGCCGGTGTTGTTTCCTACAGCACTATGGATTAGTGTCTCCTCCAAAAATGTCTTCAGGTTAAACAAGTGTCTGAGATGAGGCTGTCAGATTGTAGATAAAAGTAACAATGCAAAAGTACAATATCAAAGAGATGTCAAAAAGCAGCATTCCTAACTCTACGAGGCAGGAAAGGGTTCCAAGTCAAGAAGATGTACATGCATGGATAATACAACAACAGCTTGGAAGACCAGAACTGAAAATTGCTCTAAAAAACAACGAGAAACACCAAATAACCTCCACTTCAGTCTCTTATATACTTTAAAAGTAGCAACCTGGAAGAATCGTACAGGGTGGATACAACCCTGTTATTACCTAGAMCTCACAGAAGGCTCTAGAATAGCTTTAAATTAGACTTTGCAGTATAGAAAACTGGTTGAGCATTGCTGTTGTCTTATTATACTCTACTCTGAATAAACCAKTGTTTCACATTTGAAGAACGTATTGCACTTAATCTTACCTGGCATTCTGCCAAAGTGCTTCACAATTCAGTCCCCTGACTGACATCACAGAAAGCTTGTCTTCCAAACTGAGCTTGGAAGAAGGTTGTTGCTGCATCTCTAAGACTTGTAAGGGACAACAGTAGGTTCAGCAGCACATGCACCAAGGCAGCTGCCAGTTAACTATAACTCACTGTGGGCCTAATCCTGCCTTCAACGAGCATTCGTCATGCCGCTGCTGAAAATCATCACTATGTCCATAAAATTACTAGGGGAAYATAAAACCTGTACTGATATTCTCATGCAAGTCAATCTGAGGCAAGAAGCATCTTCTACAGAGATGTACACAAGTGCCAAACTAGAATATTCTCTTTTACTTATCTGAGGCCCCCTCTGCAGAGTGGTAAACCTTGCCACTTAATTTAGGGTAAGCGCAGAAAGACAWTGTTTCTTCCTTCTTTTCTCCTCTCAGATTTCATGTTGAGGTGAAATCTAGGTGTCCCGATCCAATAACAAACCAATCTTCTGCTTTGTGAGCTGCATATCAATTTTAAACTTAAGATTTAAGCCGTATTGTGGCAGAAAAGAAAAGCCTATTTTGTAGTGTAACCCAAAGAATACTAATTCATTAAAATCTCTTACACAGAGAAGAAGGAGAGAGTGCCTAAGTAAGAGTTGCCATGGGGGYAGCCTGCAGCCATATGCCAGCAAGTCACTCTGCTTGTACATTGTAAGAATTTTCATCCATCTAATCAATAAAAAATGAGTAGTTACTATGGCAATTCCTACATTACAAGGTAGTTGTGCTGCAGCACAGCATGTTTTAGAAGAAAAGATGCACTTACCACTCTGTCATGTAAGTTTTTGCACTTTTTACGGTGTAGCAGT